CAATTTTTTTTAGAGTGGATACCCTTCTCACCCCGTTTTAAATTAGCCATTGCTTCCATTCTAATTTCTAGATATGAATGAATGTCAATATAACATTAGTGACTGCGACGTGAATTCAAACTGCACTAACACGTATGGTTCTTACAAATGCACTTGTAAAGCGGGATACAATGGCGATAGACACTCATGTTCAGGTACACTTAATTTTCATCATCAAAGATGACCATGAATATGTTTTTCCATTGACTGTTTTAGCTCACCCCTATGCGAGGTCTCATCATGATTGCGAGTGCAGCAATAAAGCAGAATTTATAGTAATGACGTAATTGATGAATGCAGCATTACAGTAGGGCTATGTCAAACACTTGTATCAGAGGCAAAAGGAAACAAGTCTAACACTATGTTATGCAGATATTTTTGATTGTCAGACAGAAATAAATTAAACCAAAATAAGTCATCGCTAACATCATTGACCACAAATCACCATCATCAACCAAAATCATCCTCGTGACCATCACTTTGATCATCATCATTGCGAACACTTTTGCTTATAGATGTCGATGAATGCAGCGATAAAATCCATGTTTGCGATGTGAATGCAAAGTGCACAGACACCAATGGCTCTCATAACTGTACATGTACGGATGGACACATTGGGGATGGACAATCATGTCACGGTACATGCAATGACTTTAGACATTAATAACTGAATGAGTAACTAAGAACATGTTCAATAATGAATTGAATGATTGCCAGACAAAGTTACCCCTCATGCATCATTTCAGATATCGATGAATGCAGCAATGGAAGCCATATGTGTGATGTGAAAGCACCTGTAAGAAAGGCTACACTGGAGATGGAAAACGTTGCCAAGGTACATGTTGTAACTTTTATGACCATCTTTTGATGTATTTTTTTTTAACTCGTGCGTTTCTTTTGGTGTTTTTTAAGTTCGAAATAAAAGGTTGATGCGAAAGAAAATCGAGAGGTTGGACTCTGCTGTTGTAGTCTTGGGTTTTGTTGCTTTATTTACTAGGAAAAAACGAACTTAAAGAGAACATTTGAGCTAGGATTTCCAATTCTTTAAATTTTAAAGAATTCGTTGAACACTTCATAAAAATACACTTTTTCCGATAACTATTTTCATATGAGCTCTTTCGTCACGCATCTCAACTTCTGTTCCTCGTGCAACTGCAATTATAAGGAATGATAGATTGAAGATAAAGTGTTAAGAATAGCTTAAGCTTGTGAAGTATGAAATTCTTCACAGTATTTAGTGAGGGAAAGGGACGACTGCAACAGACATTCTAGTTAGGTGACAACTAAGTTATATTCGAGCCCAATTTTTCTACGTTCTGTTTATTTTTTTCTCTCTATTTAATTGCCCTTTTTTTACATCATATTTACTTGTAGATGTCGATGAATGCAGCGACCATGCTTGTGATGAGAATGCAAACTGCACCAACACCAAAGGTTCTCACTTTTGTACCTGTAAGGAAGGATATACTGGGGACGGAAAGTCATGCCAAGGTACATTATTAGATTAGCATACGAACTTTAGCGCGTTTATGATTGTCACCTCTCCCCGACAAAGCAAATAGGCATTCCATTTACACGCCTAGTTAGATTAGCTCCAGCATAAACAGAATCATTTTTCATAAGTAAACCATGCTTATATGTTCTATATTTCTATATTTCTATACTATACATATATATATATATCACTGAGTATGTTCTCTTTTAAACATTGACGAATGCAGTGAAGCTCATTCCATTAAACTGTACAACTGCCATCCGAATGCGTCTAGGGCTCATACAACTGTTCTTGCAATCCTACATATGTCGGTTATGGTTTTAATTGTGAAGGTATCATTTGTTTTTTTTGAGGCGATGAAATTTATATTTTGTAGCTCAGGTTGAATGTAGCGGTAAATTTCGTAGACTTGACATATGATCCGCCAATCACATCCGGGGGAGGTATTTTTCTACGCTTCGTCGTGAACGAATACAAATCAACTCTTAATAGTAGTTAAAATGATTTAAGAAAACTTTACACAAGGTTTTACATGATGCAGTTTTACTGCTCTCTGTAAACCCATGAAATCTTCGTAAGATTTTTGCAATGTTGGAACAATAGCAACAATGATTAAATGTATTTTACTCATGAAAGCCGATTAACATTGTTATTTCACTTCCTGGATGTAAAGAGCAATCATAAATCGCTCCGTAGGTACATGTGTATAAGGTTTTTAACATAGAACGTAGCTATCCTGTCGTCTCGATCTTAAACATCATTGGCAGGTACACGCTGAATGTGAAGCAAATTTAATTCACGCAATAACAGAATCAGGGATTCAACTTGTAACGTACTTCACTTTTAACATGATCATTGATACTACTGTCAGATTTTAAAGCTGCTGTCGAAGTGTTCAATTATGCCATCAAATTAAGTGCTTTTAGTAGCAAGTAAAAAAAAACATATACGTAATATCAACCAGGTACCAGGTTGATCACAAAGTAAAGACAAAATAGATTGTAGACAAACGGATATCTATTCCATTTATTTAGAATCGTTATTCAGATGACAGCGTTGGTTAAGCTCTCAAACTCATAGTTTTGAGGGTTTTTGTTTGTGTGTGTGTTTGTGTGTTTTTTCGGTTTTTTGAAGTAAGAAAAAAAAACAGAAGGAAGAGCATCAAAATATAAAAGCCCGCGAAAATTACGCACAAATTTGACGTAGCTATTATGCTTTAGTATTTAGAAGCGTTGAACCAATTCATAGACACTAGTTGGGAAAAATCCAATAGCTTAAACCAGTCGTAATGGTCACAAATTTATTGCGAAAATTTACATCCCAATACCTGCGGAAAAAGAAAACAGTATTATATCCCTTATTGTGATATGAAAATACCTCTCACTTACGAGCAGAGTACACCGGAGATCTAGATACCCAAAGCCCCTAACCGAGCATCACGCTAGGAGTTAGAGGTTTAGTTATTGTATACCAAACAGCCTTTTGAAAGTGAAAATCACTCCTTTATCACGTTAATGGTTGCGTGGTGCGTGAGATTCTTTTCTCTTTGTACTCCTCTATATGATATACATGGTCCGCTATACTTCAAAAGTCGTTTAAAATTTAGTAATAACGGTTGATGAATTTTAAAGAGTCAAAATGCCTTTGGAATTAACATGAAGAAGTTACCAAGCTTTCCTTCTGCTGCAGAAGAACTGCGACATTTACCGTTAAATTCTATGCTTTATAGACTAAAATAACTAGGAAGATTTTTACAGTTGTTTTTAAAATGATCGCCAAAATATTCAGTGTATTATTTTCATTCGATAAAAAAATTTTTCACGATGACAGTGCTCTCAGTAATTTTAGCGGGTGTCTTTTTTTGGTCACGGCTGCAAAGCTAGAGAACAAACTCCAGTTTCGAAACATGAAGGTCTCTGCCTTTGTATTTCGCAAAGAAGCAAAAAAAAAAACTGAGTTGCGCCGCACTACGGTGAGTTGTATGTGGGTTGTTGTATGTTGCAGTCTCAGCAAGAGGACTCTACTACAACATAGCAACGCACCGGTACACTTCACCGTTTAAGAGCACCTATTTTGAGCAGAGGTTCGACATGTTTAACAGCGCATCAGAGCTGATGATCAATTATTTATGACGTCGTTTAGTGCGAGGTTATAGAGAATAATTTCTTTATTCCTTCAGGGCGAGCACGATTGTTATGAAAAGAAAGGGGTTGTTTTCGTTTTTAAGAGTTATGGAAAATAACCATACGGTTTAATACTCTCTTCATGTGCGATCCGTCATTAAAAATCTAATTCGAAGTTTCCGAGATAAGATATATAGTAACCTTAATCCCGAGAAATACTCGAGAGCGAGCCGTTATCTTTCAATTACTGGCCTAAAAAATTGTCTGCTGTAACGGCCGCTATATAAACATCGTCGGAAACCGGCAAATGTTGATCAGTAACACCTCAAAGGTTTTCACTCATCCGTTACTGCAACTGCAGACGCATACAGCCGTTGCCGATTGTGGCATTGATAGAAAGGAAGGAGAAAAGAAACATAAACGAAGTTGATGGTAGTTTACTGCAATCTTAGCCCTATGAAGATAAATTATACATTTCAATCTTAATTCATTATTTCACTCATAAAAACCGGGATGACTTAGCGCTTTTCATTCATGATTGCTTTCACATAAACGTTTCCAAAGTTCTTACAATATACAAAAGCTGTCCTCGATTTTGGATGATTTCGCAGAACTGGAATATCTAGTCTTTTTTTTCAAACTTAAATAACATGGATTTACTTCAAGACGTGCAGGGGTTCTCTCCATTCATATTTTAAGAATACAGGACGCCTTTACTTCCATGTAATTTCAACATATATCATTTTATGGTCTCTAATGGATTGTAAGACTTCCATTGTTTAAGTTGATTAAATTTCCAGGACTTTTTGACTCGTGTCAGTACGAAATAATTTATAACCTTCTAGTGATACAAACATGCTTCACACGTGAGTAAAATGCATGAAGAAACCCGTGAAGAGGTTCGATGTGTGTAGAATAAATAGTTTATTTAGGCTGATAATTACTTCTTTGAGGCGCCAATAACTGCGTGTGTTGTGAGGAACAAAAGCGTGATATTCCTTCGTAACATTCTGCCCTTCGGGATCCCTTTCATCATTTATTAGTCCTTTAACTTTCTTCTTTTAAGCTAATGCTGATGACCACTCTCTCAGAATATTAATTACACCACAATTTTTTACCTTAACTAACAGTCAAGACATTCAAATGACAACGAAAACTTGGTAATTTATTAATAAGTTCTACAGAATTGAAATAAGACTGAAAAAAGCAATGTATCCATAATCTCAAGGACCACACAGGAACAAGAAATGAATTATTAATGACTTTTTTATTAACCATTGTGACTCTAATGACAGTTATAAGAGGATGAACTTGGATGACAGCATCATTTGTCAAGAGGTTTTGAAATCCTCACTAACAACTCTGGAGAAAACGTGTTTGGTAAGCCAGTCTTCCTTGATCCTACCAATTTAAAACTCGAAAGATGAAATACTACCTTTAAATCATTTGGAACATAATACTTCTTCATTTCTGAAAGGAAAAAAACCAAAAAAAGGATGTAAACAAATTAGGACATGAAAATGCTATGGTTCTGAGCATTTTCTTATTTTCTGCTAAGTAGTAAGACAGTAAAATTGAAAAGATACCTTTAATTCTCTTAAACTAACAGAAAAAACACCATTTTTTTGTTAACCGGCATATTCGCAACGCGAGCTATATTCCCCTTCTTTTCAAATAATTTTTTCAAACAGCTTTAAAAGTCGACATGAACAACGTTTTATAATCAAAATGAATACTTTACGTATAAGGATGCTTCCTAAACCAACACCGTTTATCTTCGTTGAGGGTGTGTTTATTTGCCTTAAAAACGATGATGGTCTGGTGTACAAAGGCATTTTAACTTTTTTAGTTTTCTCAAAAGTTTTGAAGTTTTGGGGTGCCTTGAAACAAATAAATGGAAAAAAATAGATTCTGCCAAATGGCGTGCGAGAACGTAGTTTATTCGAATTCGCTACGTTTAATTATAAAGTGCACGGGTAATGTTTAGGATGAACAGCAAATTTTTCGTAAAGGATATTGATGAGGATACTGACGGCGTCGATGCACGTTTTGAGGAGAACATAATAATTATTTTCACTTTTGATTAATGATTCGACGCAACATCCTTTTAAATTTTTGATAATTAAGGCAAAGTCAACAAACATTTCTTTTGAGAATAAATGGAAGAGAAAAGTTTAAATTGCAGTAGGAGCGTATTTTTTTCCGGTCTTAAGAATTGATATCTTCATGACTTAATTTCCTTAGAGACGAATATTTTTTTTCGTTCGTATTTGGTGACCACAGGGCATCTCTTTTAAAACGGAAATTTTATATTGAAGTTCTAGCAACCTCCACTCTTTAACCTGATTAAAAAAGGAATTTCCCCAATGCATCAATATTTTAGAATTTGCAATCCTGGGTTACAATTCCATAGCGAAATATAAAAAAATTCAAGAGGTTATCTTAAAATCAAATTTCAACTCAAAAAGGCTTTGCATCTGTTAGGAAGCGACTGAGAACTGGATCACGCAATATGTGGTTCTTAAATACGGTCATCACACCATGCTGAAAGTTTGAGAGCGCTTATTTTGAGCAGAGGTTAGTTCATTATTTTTGCCGCAAGCGAGCATCAGCTCAGGCGTTCAAACAACATTTTCCAACCGGCAGCCATTGTCAATGATCGCAACTCAGAGCAACTTTGATGCTTGCCTCGTTCGCCTAATTTTCTTCAATAACTCATAAAGTCGAAATTAAAGATCGTCGGAGAATTCTCTCAAGGATATTCAAGAAATCGTATTTGGAACAAGAAGATATAAAAATACAATAACATTAAAATTTGCAATAATATCGACTTCATTCGCTTTTTCAAGTTCGAAAAACGAGGAGCGAGCATCATTAAAAGGCAATCTCTTGCCACAGAAACGTTTGAGCGGGCATTTTGAAGGAGGTCCAATGAGTTTTGATTTCTAAATCGCGAGTAGGCGGTCGATTCAGTTTATTTGTTTGTTGGTCTGTCTATTCAGTGTTTGTTTGCTTACTTGGCTTGATTTGCATTTAATCCACGGTCTACCAATAAAACTGTAAGCGCATTTAATTGATTTGTCCATACCTTACAGTTTCAGCACAGAATCCGAGGAAATGATGTGGTTTTCTTGCTTATTAAGCCTGCTGATCTCTTTAGATGCTATGGACCTCGCTACTGCTAAAGATCTATGCAAGACAGAAGTAAGCGTACTTGGCATGGCTCTCAAGGGCTTCATCTACAAAAAGGTTACAGTAACAGCCCCTCATGATTGCGATATCACCTGCAGGGGAGAAACCAAATGTCAAAGCTTCAACTATGTGATTGGTGAAAAGTCCTGTGAATTGAGCGCTCGAACCAAGGAAGCAAGGCCTGAGAATTTCCAGTCAGACGATTCACGCTTTTACATGGGACGCTTCAGTGGCAGAAGTAAGCATCAAATGTAATTCATTATACGAGCAGATTGTTCTCAGTGATTCCTTGTGAAAACCCTTAACTCTACGAGGGCAAAAGTGTTTAAATGCTTTATTTATAGAGTATTCAAACACTTATATTCCACTCATATTCATATTCCAATCATTAGAGCAAAATTCACCTTCCATATTGAATCAATTTCCAAAGAATAATATATATTATCTTGATCAATATTGATCATAGCTTACAGCTCCAATATATTTCTCCGACTCTATCTTTTCCGAGTGAGTCTTTACCCTTTATTTTTTGTGACTTTTATAGCCACTGAAAATGTTATTTAATCTTTATCGCAGTCCCCTTAGGCTCCATTGCTGAATTGCCAGCGTTATCTTGCCATGAGATAAAGTTAAGCGAGGGTAAAGACACAATAAGTAAAATGTACTGGTTGGATCCAACTAGCACCGGGAAAGCAGAGTTGCTTTACTGCGACATGAAATTGGAAGGTAAGTGAGTTTAGCAAAAGCAAAATCAATTTACGCTGAGTTTTTTATCCCGTATCCCTTTCCTGTCTGCTCAAGGAATCTCTCCTTGTTATTTTTCTTTCGATTTCTTTCCAATTAGATATCGATGAGTGCACAGGTAGCAACAACGACTGTGACGACAATGCGTACTGCTCAAATACTGTTGGGTCTTATAATTGCACCTGCAAAGAAGGATTTACTGGGGACGGACACTCATGCTCAGGTAAAAAAAAACTTTCAACTTGATTACACAGAAATTTACAGAATGTGACCATATCTATGAGATCTTTCACCTAGTTAAACTCGATGTATTTTTTTCTGATATATTTTTTTTTTCTGACATTACTGTTGCTTACATATACAGGTATGGGTGAGTGCAGCGATGTAATCCGTGTGCTTGCGACATAATTGCGAACTATACAAAAACTAAGGGTATTCTCAGCTACACTTACTGCTTTTCTTAGTTAATTTTTCGCATTAGAAAGAAAAGTAGTATGCCTTACATGTTTTACCAGCGTGCCCATATAAAATAAATATGAGAATAGGCATGGATACAATCATGATAATGAAGGAAAAGTATAAATAACAATTGAGAGCAGAAGGCGGAATAGTTAAATACTTGCAGAACAGAACCATGATTTCCTAAATCCCTTTTTTAGTGTCGTCGACCGGAGATGTCCTACACAAGTACATTTTACCGCTTACGTAATGCACAGCTGCTCTTGTAGGTGCTGCTGTTCGGTGTTTCGACTGGTTAAGTGTGAGACTCATATAATAACCATTGGCCATAATAATTTCATTCCTCTAACAGCTTTCATTTATTTTTTACCTTTGTAGCGGATCCTTACTAAAATGAAACTAAAAATAAATAAATAAATAAAATTAGTGATACCGATAGAAAGAGTAATTATCAAACACCCAATTATCCAGTGTTGCATGATGACGAACTCCCTGAGGGATGGTAACCCGTTTGTAATTATCATTTATCTCTACAGCTAAACCATGTTATCATTACTATAACCTGAGTGATGCCAGCAGAAATACAATCAACGTAACAATCCCTTCTCAAGCGTTGTGTGACAATGAGCTCCTTGAGGGATGGTATCGTTTTGTGGGAGCTGCAGGAACTAAAATGCCAACAACGCGTGTTCCACTAAACAGATGTGGAACGAGATTCTCAGGTTGGTTGAATGGTACTCATCCCACCGTGGAAGATGGTGAGGTATACAGAACGGTTTGCTTTAGTAAAATATTTGGCGGTTGCAAATTCTCAAATGAAATTTCTGTTAAAAACTGTGGATCATACTTTATCTACAAGCTTCAACAGCTGCCACCTGATTGCTACTTGCGTTATTGTGGTACAGACTGAATATGGAGCAAATAACGCCATGACAAAACAGTTGATTCATAAACGATCTGTGGACACATTTATTTCAAAAGAACTAAAATAGTTTACTTTTTATCATAATCATTGAAACGTTACACTAGTGATTACCAAACTGCTATATTCTTTCATTTGTTGACGGTAAATAAAATTTCTCATTTCTAGTGTCACCGAGGACATCGTACCTAGAAAATTAAGAATGAATGTGATATTAATCATTCTTAGAAAAAACATGTATATGGTCTTAGAACGATACTCCCGATTGGATGTCTCTGTTTGTCGATACGAAAGATTGGTGAAGGATGTTTTTAAGGAATGGAAAAGCAGTTGAGCATAACATGTGATCTCTGCATGAATGCTGAAAACCTTTACTAACATTTTGTTTCATAAAATAAATACTAAAGCAGGATATAGTTGAGCTTAATAGACGAGCTGTAGAAATGAAAAAAAACTGTTACTGTTCCGTTGCCAAAGCCCAGTAGGGTTCACGAAAGAAACCCTCGAAGACCGTTGGTTGATATTTTTCAACTTCTCAGGGTACGTAGCGATTTATTTGGTATTCATAAGAGTCTCAATTCCGAAAGAAAACTTGATTTCACCCGATATTGGGCAAAACAACGGCGATGTTAATAAATAACTTAAGAAACATAGAAGAATACAGAGAGAAAATATTGTAGGGGGTCTATTCAAAGAAGGAGTGATATAGCTCGGTCATTGCGTATTTCATGTAAATAAAAGAGAGATCGTGTATTTGATCACATAATATATATATATATATATATATATATATATTATACTCGTATCAAGAAAAGCGGATCAGCTTAAAGTTAAGTAGGCCTTGTTTAACGATAAACAATGACCGTATATGGCTACTTTAGAACAAAGTAGAAATCCGATATCCGAAGTTAAATTTTAATAGGCTATTAAAATTTAACTTGGGATATCGGATTTCTAGTGTTCTGATTGGTTCACTCAACTCAGGTCATTAGCTCATATTTCGAGTCGCCTTATATGGAAATGTATTGCGACAAGTTAATAAACGTCCAGGATTAAATGAAATTTCATAAAATAATTGTTTTACTGCGTTCGTTGGATACCACAACGATTATAGCTAACTCGGCACTAAGCACCACATTGGCTATGTACCATCTCGCATCTAGTCATGGAATGATTGGTAATTATACAGCTCACGGTGAAAATATTTATTGCACGTGGACCGTTTCCTAATGGATGACGTTAAGACTAAAGTAGATGACAGGGCATGTTAATATAAAGAACCTAGATATTTCAATAGCAAGGAACGTTTAGCCAAATGCATAAACCCAGAGCCAAGCGTAGAGAAAACAGATCTATCAATCGAACCTGGTTAATTTTTTAGCAATGAATGGCAAACAATGACCATAAAATTGAAAACTAAGAATCAGAAAGATGGAAAAAAACATTTTCGACACTCCGCTAAAAACAGTAAGTTAAATATGATGATGTTTACGTTGTTGCTATTTACTTCATATCGTAACCTTTAATTATTACTATGTAAGATAGTACTCGCCACTGCAATGCTGAAGATTACCTGTCATTTTATACATTATTAAATGAAATAACATGTAAAAACATATATTGGTGTCTGATTCGTCTGTGTTTGTTTCTGCTTAGGGATTATCACTAAAATTCAACCAAAAAGGGGGGCGGGGAGGGAGGAGGGGGGGGTTGAACAATGAAGGGAAAGGGAAAGATCATTGTGATATTAACCCTTTTATTACCAAGAACTCATTAGTGATTAACCTTACCGACTTCTATATTGTTCTTAAGATGTTAGTTCCGAGAATCTGGTATTGGACAACAACGCATACTTAATTGATGTTTTCTCTGTTCCCACTACTCACTTGCTTGCTACAGCATCGATATTGTAAAGAGATGTTCTGTCTCGGTCACTCATGCAATTTAAAGGGTTATGAGGCTAAGATGAAATCGGTTTCATCTCAGACCCTCCGGAACACCTAAAAATAAAAACCAAATCCTTGAAATTGCATATCTCTGTAGGTTCCTCGATTGTATTCTTGGTAAATATCAACCACGTCAATTAATACGCCTACATCTCTACAAAATTAAAAAAAACAAATTCCGCCATTCCAACGTCTTACCTCTGCAGCTAAAGATAGGATGGGTATAGGCGGAATCATAATTTACCTCTAGTTAAGGGTCACCGACTTCAGAGACATAAGAGAGTATTGATTTGCTTCAGAAACGGGCTTAATTAAGGCTCCTGTGTAAATTGGGGTTGACAGACTTAAATAACTCCGTAGTAGGTCCAGTTTTGACTTTGTTACAAGAGTTCACTTCTTCATTGCGGCGAGATTACGGGATGGCGGGATGGCGGGATGGCGGGATGGCGGGATGGCGGGATGGAAAGAAAAATAGCGGCCGAATGCGAGATTGGAAAGGTCTATTTTGGACCCTTCTGATTAACAACTGATATCTTGATTAAATTGATTCCTGGCTGACTTTAGGGGTTGGGAATTAAATTTCCTAATTCTGTACTCAGGAAAGGAAAAGGATAAAGAATGAAAAGTGATTCCTCCGAGGTCTAAGTGTAATTGATCGCCAGCAGACCAAAACACGATTTTAAATTATGCTATTCATGGTATTATATGAAACTCGAAAATGTATCTTACGAGTGTCCTGGCCGAGGCAAAACGCGCCCTCCCACACGACGTTTTCGAATATGAAGATGAAGATTTTCTTGATTTCATATAGCTATTGGTCTTATACGCAGAACCATTCCGCGTCTAAGGCTGAGAGCTATATGAAATTAAGATCAGAAGGACTGTCAAGAAAACCTCATCCGTGCATTAGCACTAAGGTTCTTTTAAGTTTCAAATTTCATAAACTGAACCACCCGCGCAATTCAAACAAAAGGGACTTCAGGACTGCAAGTTAGACAAGTTAGGTCCATACAATTCTTCCTCGAATTATTCACTCCAAGTGATACTTTGTTCAAAATTGCTCTACTGCTGTTCAGCAGCAAATAACACTTCATGAGAACCTAGGCGATACTGGAAACTTCGGGAAACCCCTTCGAAAGAAACAAGCAATCCAGAAAAATGGAAAGTAAGACTCTATTAGAATGAAAATTTTGGATCATACTGGGAATTTTTTCTCGATTTATTCATTACAAAAAGTATTTTGTACATAATCTCTTTGTTATTTTTCAGTTGCAAGTCACACATAATGAGAACTTGAACTGCGTTAAGAATAATTTGGAAATTTTCGGAAGAAAGAGTAACCCTTACAAAAAGAAAAAAGTTAAAGCGAGCTTCTATTTATTCGTGTCTGTCATCTTACAACGAAGGGGGCAGGGGATTTCTATTCATTGTTTATTCTGCAAAACTGATGTTGCTAAACGGCTGATTTCAATTCTCATCTTACACTTGTAGTTCGGATAATATTTTTTATAAAAGCACATGTTTTTCCCTGTAAGTATGAGAAAATTAACTTTGACGATGAAGCCTTCGTGAGAACCGCGAAAATAGGTTAGAAACGACATTATTTGCAAAACACTATTGCGTGTTAATCTAACGGTGTTTAAAACAAGAAGGTACAAATTCAATAGTGCAATGATTAAAAATATTTCAAAACCTTTCAATTAGTTTTGGATGGCAAAATAATCACACATGTTTGTAGCGTCATTACCAACCAAAAAATGTACTGTCGGTGACTAATTAGTGTCAAGCTTACACCTTTATGTACGTACAGCTTGTTGTTATAAAAATTTGAATTTGAACTATTATTTTCTGCTGCCAAGTTCCGTAAATCTTAGTCTTTATGTTGTTCGCACATGATTAAGTCTTGTTTACATTGGAAAAAAATTAATGTTTGTTTGAAGATTCTCACGAGAACAGAGGAAGTTATCAGAAAAAAAAAATGAAATCGGGTATAGAAAATTAAATGAAAGATTCTGAAATAGCGTTTCTCAGGCTAAACTGATTTTTCCGTAGCCAAAGACGTTCTTTCTTTAGAGCTTTAACCATTAATAACCTTTATTTAGCAAACGGTCTATTTAGTTTCCTTAGGTAAACACTGAATTATGAGAAAATTTGAGGAATATCTAATTAAAATACGTCTAAAAGCTAATTTAGACCGATTAGTTGTTATGCACGCGATTTTAATGATTTGGAACTTCAAAGGAAAACGAATCGCGAGGTTTTTTTTTTCTTTCTTTTAAAGAAAAAAAAAAGCTTGTCATCGCTGCCATTGTCCAGCGATATTGCTCGAAAGTCGGATACTCATTTTGTTGAATTTTTTTCTCACCATTATCCCTTCCGTTTAACTCCCTGAGCGAGGAACCTAAAGTGGAGAAAAATAAAATGTTTTTAGTATTTACTTTTGTTTTGACTTGGAGCCAACTATAAGTATCGTAACCATAGCTACCATACTGTGATGAAAGAGAGCATTTTAAGCATAATTCCCTAGCAGTTAGGCGCTTATAAGCATCCTGAGAAGGTAAGAAACAACACTTCCAGGACAATTTCTATTCAATAAGAATCTTTCTTTACCCCCATCTCCTATATTTCTGTAGTTTAGAATTACATAGGATAAGTTTTGCTCAACTCTCGAGTTAGAGTTTGGTAAATTGTTGTCGGCAAACTAAATAACGCTGCTTTGAAATACACCATATCATTAGTTTTAAGAAATAGTTTCTTTACTACTTCGGGTATACTATCTAAACCTCTACATATTTGTTTCTGGTACGCCGCACATTTCTCTGTTTACCTCATAAACTGTCAATACATACAGCCGCCTTGGCTAATGTTTCAAGTTGGCCAAAAACTTTGAATTTTTTGCAGTCGGAAGAGGATTTCCTTTAAATATAAATTCATTTTCCAACAAGTAGAAGAGGATAGTTTGTTTGAGGTGGGGCCTTACTGTTTGAATTTATCTTACCCTTTAAGTATCTAAATTCGTAGTTAGCCAGTTTGATAAAGCCATCTTCTCTGCTGCCTATCTATTTTTTCCTCTATGTCAGTAACACCAGATCAGCATATTAAAATCGTAATTCCACAAAATTTAAAAATGCGTTTATCTTCAAAACTCAGACAATCTACCGCAGCTAAAAGTGCGCTTAAAAATTCTTCCTTGCCATTTTAATTGAAATCCTATCAAGCATCACGTAAATTGTATACACACAATATCAATATGGAGTGTTTTTGCTAACTTTCGGATGACACATTAATGTACATGTGATATGATTATTATCTTTTCATCTGGTATTTAGCCAACTTGGTTGAGAGCAATTACTTTTTTCCCCTTCAAAATAGACTGTCGTTACGCAGGAACATAAGATATACCTTTAGGGTTCTATCCTTTACATTTGTAGATTCAGTACAAGCAAAGAAGTATGTATTGGATGTTACGCAATTTAAGATTCTTCCTCTTCGCTTCTGCCATGGCGTTTGTCACAGCTAATGATCAATACAGGACAGAGGAAAAGATACAATGCAAGACAGAAGTAAACATACACAGAATGGCTCTCAAGCGCTCTGTCTTCAAACGATGGTCAGTGGCAGCTCCTCACCTCTGCGATGTCAAATGCGAACAAGAGATCACCTGCCAAAGCTATAACTACAATAAAAAATACCAAATATGTGAACTAAATAACCGCACCAAGGAGGCGAGACCAGAGAATTTCCTTTTAGCGCCCACGTGGTTTTACATTCGACGATTGAACGGCAGAGGTAAGAAATCACAAGTTTATGTGCCCATGTGGTTTTTCGCTTCTTTAGATTTTCTCCATCCTTAGCTAACCGCGTTCCTTCCCATTTACAAGAATTGACAATGAGAAAAGAAAAACTGAGAACGTATTTTACTGCAGCTCCCTTGGGTTCTATACCTGAATTACCGGCGCTGTCCTGTCTCGAAATAAAGGCGAGTGAAGGAAACGAAAGTATAAGCGGCAACTTTTGGCTGGATCCGACTGGTACTGGGAATGCCGTTTTGATTGACTGTGACATGGCTAGCGGGGGTAGGTCTTATCAGTTCTCTTCGAGTTAAGTTACGAAGTTATGTTTGTCAATGCTTTGGATATACTCAACAAACGCTTGCCAGTTGTCGCACTTATTTACTTTATTTACTTGTGTTCCATATAAAGCAAAAGGTCGACTGAAAATAAATTACAAAACGCTAACTGATTCGATTTGCTTATTTAGAAACGTAACAAGATGTTGAAAAGCGAAACGATACAAAATGATTTTACATACCGACATTCGTGGCTCTAGTTCTCAAGAGAAGATCCAAACACGTGCGTTCACTAACTCAACTAATTGTTTACTAATCAAGTTTCCCATACTGTACTACGATAAAGATTATGACGTCAGTGTAACAGTATATATATATATATATATATATATTTTTTTTATATTATTAGCATTGTTGTTTGTTTAGTCAGTATCAGTTCTTGTCTGGATTACTTTCTTATATTTTCTCTTCTTTTGCAATTTCTAGATATGGATGAATGTAAATCTGACATCAGTGACTGCGATGTGAATGCAAACTGCACTAACACGGACGGTTCTTACAAATGCAAATGTAAAGCTGGATACGCTGGTGATGGACACTCTTGTTCAGGTACTTATACCTTCATCTTCAAAGATGACCCGTTTTATTTTGCTTCCAGTAGCTGTTTTAGCTATTTTTTATGTTAATCGTCTCAAAATAATGATTACAGAAATGAAGTAGTGATGATATTACTGATGTATTGACGAATGCAGCGATTCATTTAGATTAGTTACTTCTAGCAATTACATCGGGGGAAGTAAATCTGCCAAACAGACTCATGTAAAAATATATAAAGGGGTAAGTTTCTAAAGAAACTGTGGTGCTGCGTCGGTGGGAGAATATAGCAGATAATTTAGTGTTAACAACTGGGTTGAAAACGTAAATTAGCCACCGTAAAGAGTAAAAAAGCTGACGTTTCGAGCGTTAGCCCTTCGTCAAATCGCTCTGACGAAGGGCTAACGCTCGAAACGTCAGCTTTTTTATTCTTTACGGTGGCTAATTTACGTTTTCAACCCAGTTGTTAACACTAAATTACCTCATGTAAAAATATGCTTTGCCGATATTTCTCAGTGCAACGATAATCTGCAGGTTTATGACATGTATATGACGTAAACTAAGCATTTTTTCTTTGAAATCATTTCTATCACATTATCATCTCACAACATCACCGTTATCATCTTCATCGCCACATTTAACATTACTTTGATTACCATCAACCATCACCATCATCATGGTCATCAGCTTTAACGTTGTAACTCTTCATTGCACTGCTTATTCTTTCAAGATATCAATGAATGTAACAATGGAAGCCATTCGTGTGATGTGAATGCAAACTGTGAAAACACGAATGGCTCTCACAACTGCATCTGTAAGGAAGGATACATTGGGGATGGACAATCGTGCCAAGGTATATAGGAATAGGTTTAGCGACAACGCAGGAATAGTCAGCTATGGTCTTTGTACCTGAATCCCCACATCGCTCATTCAATCGTGAATTGTGTGGCAACTCTCCTCTGTAATAATTGTCATGAAAAACACATACAACAGTTATTTATTCTCACTAATTCTCATAATTGTACCGGTAGGGAAGGATAAACGAGAAACAGACAATCATGTTAAGGTACAAAAGATGAGCCTTTCAAACAGCTAATTTTTAGGATGTCAATTCTGCGTTTGTTAGCCACATCCTATTGTCCCTACAAGCGTCAGACAATACAATTCTTAATATTTTTGCATGTCATGCGCCCGTTTGTATGCATGGAGGCAAAACGATAAAATGTAAACTTTATTTATGGTTTTCCAGATATGAACGAATGTAAAAGAAACCAACCTTGCGACGTGAATGCGATCTGCACAAACACCGAAGGATCGTATGTTTGTACTTGTCACCCTGGATATACTGGAAATGGACTCAGCTGTACAGGTATGTGATGTTTTCCTTTGGTTCCTTTAAACGTAAACGAGACCGTCGTCTTTCTTTGGCATGTCCTATATCGGCAACAAACAATAACCCTTAATATCATCGCGATAATGACACATTTTTTTATTTGACATTTCAAATAATAACCTCTCTCTTAGACATTAACGAATGCAGTGAAGCTCATGCCGTTAAGTTGAACAAATGTCATCCGAATGCCTCTTGCATTAATACTAAGGGCTCATACAACTGTCAGTGCAATCCTACTTACACTGGAAATGGTTTCAAATGTAAAGGTACGTTCGGTTTCTTTGAGGTAATGTAAGTTTTATTTTGTAGCTCAGCTTTAATTTAAAAATAAATTGTTTACAGCTGACTTTCTTCCGAAACATGAAAAGCGGGCGAAATTCTCCTTCATAGTAACGCAAACTCAAAAATAAATGATCTCTTAATTATGTTTAAAATAATTTTTAAAAAACTCTTACAAGACGTTTCCCATAATGCAGACATGATTCTCTCCCTACAGTTCCTAAAGCTTGAGTAAATCCCTTATTTGAGAGAAATTATAACAATAACAACATGTAGTTATTTGACGCGCTGCCATTACAAAAACTTAATTTGTTGATTGTAGCAGACAGAGGCATCACACACGTAGAGGAACAGTTATTGACAACAAATCCCTTTTAGGGTGGTATGGGTGTTCGGGAGCTGGGGTTATAAAATTTCTCAAACGCGCATGGTAACATCAAGTTCAGCAAGTGCAAAAAGTCTCACACTTAGATAGGCTATTGAGGCAAGAAGAAACATAATTCTTTATGATGGTATCATTTTATGTTAATTCCTTTGTTCATCATGATTGTTCTCCGGACTACTTCTTATTCCCATTCCCATTCCACTTAATGCATAGTTTTTTTTTTCGCAAAATGCAAATATCGTCTCCTGTTTGTTGAGCTGATTCTCTAAAAGATGTTAAAGAAAAAATATTTGCCTTTGATTGTTCAACATTTTTTAAAAATTTATATTGAACTTTTTCAGCCAACCCATGCTATCATTATCAAAGCTTGAGTGATGCCAGTAGAAAGAGCAGTTACAAAACACCCCAGTACCAAGAGGTGTGTGACGACCAACTCCCTGAGGAATGGTATCGCTTTGTGGGAGCTGCAGGAACTAAAATGCCAACAACACGTGTGCCAGCATTCAGATGTGGTACAAACTGGCCAGGCTGGTTGGATGGTGTTCATCCTACAGTGGAAGATGGTAAAGTGAACAGGAAGGTCTGCTTTAGTGATATTAATTCTGATTGTAAAGCCATAAAGAATATTTCTGTGATAAACTGTGGATCTTACTTTATCTACAAACTTTTCAGGCCACCAGATTGTTTTATGCGTTACTGTGCTACAGATTGAATGTAAAGCAAATGTACTTCGCGTAATAAGAAGATACATAAATAGATCTTTATATCTTTGTATAAGGTATTTAACATATGACGTAGTTAAATTAGGGCCTTTCCGCATTAGCGACAAATTTTACAAGTGCGTGTAGTTTGTCGTGATTTGAAAAATTTTGGCTGAAGCGGACAAATCTTAGTTAAAATTCGACAAAATCGACTTAATAAACAAAAACGTGATAAACTTGTCAATCATTGGTCGTATGAGCTACGAAAAGCGCGTAATTGAACTGAAATCAGTCTACTAGTAAGGCAAAAATTGTCTTTTGCTGAAAAAACGCGGGGATTCTAAAATTCTAAAAACGACTGAGGATAAATCCTTGAAATTGGAGGTGGAATCCTTTACCAACTATGCTTGTCGGTCTCGTGAACAGATCAGGCGCTGACGGAATTTGAAGGCTTTTAAACCTTTCATGCGGATGCAACTGACGGAAAAAGATTGTCACGACAAAATTTGTCCCTTGATTTTGTAGGGACAATTCTAGTTTCGTCCGCTAGTAGGGAAAGGCCCAAAGTATAACGAATAAATGGGTATGACGGTCAAAATCTGATAGCCTTGGCAAATGATTCCTAAGTTTGACGTTGTAATCGTGCCTAAGTATTTAGAAGAGTTTTAACTTACCTCCAGACTCACAGTAAGAATGATTTGCCGGCTTAAACCTCTCGAAACCGTGTATCAAAATGGATCCTTTAAATTCTAGACGGATTTCAAATCGGAATTAACGATCACCATGAAAATGCAGCTTCCGTCCAGGTGATTTGGATTTGATATTAAAATTGGAGTTTGTTAATGTCAGTTTCACACGGTGAAAATCTCAACTTTTTTGTCCTGGTAAAGTAGTAGGAATAAGCCGTATATATAAAGATATACAACAAATCCATTATCAAGAGCGAATGAGGACAAGGAGAGTAAACCCCGCCTGAAAAACCACTGCCACCGCCTGATATTTCACTATTCTATGACTGACCAGTCTTCGATTCATTTGATGTTCATTTGTCTCGCGTTTACAAGGAAAGACCCGAAAACACAGGGAATGGGTCAACACATTGGCGAGTTTTTTAAAAACGTATCAAAATATCGAAAAATCGTTGGTGGTCTCGACAAAGAAAAGTGATATGAGCTGGATCACTTTGTGGCTCAGCTCCTTGAGTGGTGTAAATAGACGGGCATCGTCTTATTATTTAACAAAAATGGTGTAAATTCCCAATAAACACATTTATTTATCCTTACATGTACATGGACCAGTCTCAGTTGAGTGTCTTAACGGGAACACGAAAGTAAATGTTACGGCCTGTCGACTAAACATAACAAAGTAAAAATAACAATAACAAAAATAACGAACAAAAAGATCTTAAAGCGAAGAACAGCTATAGGAAACTACAGGGTGGATCGGCATTTTCGACACTCAACTGAAAGCTGAACTACAAGTAAATTTAATCTTTATTTCCGATGTCACAATTTAAATAATACTGTAACCTTTTTTGATTAATTCGCAAGTATTCACAAGTAATCTCATAGTTAGTTGTCAATTAAACACATATAAGGGCATATGCTTTGATCTCTGCCTTTGTTAGTGCTTCGGGGTTTGTAATAACATGCTAAGAAACAAGGGGGGGGGGGGAAGGATTGAGGAGGGGGAGTGGGAAGGGGGAGGTCTTTTAGTATCTGTCATGTCCAATTTTAAAACGGGGTATACAGCCGTGGAGGCGAACCTACGGAGAAACCGCAGATTTGTTTTCACTGAATTAACATAAATAATTTGCAAACCACCTGCAATGATAAGGAACTAATGCGCTTTTCAAAAACATTTCTTTTGGCATAAGAAAAAACTTCAAAATTTGCCTCTTCATTAACTTACGTCAACTTCTCTTTCGGCTATTAGTTTATGTCAGGCAGAGAAGTATGAAGATATACATTCTTACATTTTACTCAGTCTTAGAAACCAAACAAGAGGAAAACGACTGTCAAGCGAAGCTCGTTCGTGCATAAGCAGTAAACGTTTGTGTAAGAGGTTAGAAAATTGAAAAATTAAACCACTAGCACATGGATATAAAAACCATTAAAACTTGGGTGCATTCAGTAACTAGAGATTTGAATCACAATGGGAATTCTTCCTCTGTATATTTATTCAACTCAAATAATATTTTTTTTCACAATTGTTGTGCCAAATTTCAGTAGTAAGTCAGACTTTGTGAAGGTTTAACTATATTACGAGCAATTTGAAAATTCTAAACTTCTTCGCGGATGAAAGAGTGACCCAGAAAAATTAATAACGGGCTTCTATTATTACCAACGTTTTGTGTTCAAATAAAAGTCATCAATACCTTTTAGTGCCTGTCATGCCTGTCAACTTAAAACGAAGTGGGCAAGGATTTATATACATTGTTTATTTGGTCAATAATGCGCAAAAATCATACTGAAAACACTTACTGACGTAAAGCCATAAAATTTATCAATTTACGTTTGTTTACTTTGAAAAATGGATACCATGAAAATCATTAATAATAGCTAATGTCTTCTTCGATGACTGAGGAAGTTTCGAGTCAAAAACTATAAAACGTTCCTCAAGGTTAAAATATAATTGTCCGTAGCCAAATATGATCTTAGTCCTATCGTTGATAATACATCCTTGGTTTAACACTGGATCGTGGAGAGACTTAAGGAATATATTATTAAAAAATGGCTAATTTAGACCATTTAGTCGAAATTTACATCATTTTCCAGCGGTTTTGCGAAGGGAAGAATAATGTTGCATAACACCTGGTACGTATTTTGTTGAATATTTTTCTTAATATTATCCTCTCAGCTCACCTCCCACAACAAGGAGCCCAAACAGGAACAAGGAAGTTCTCTTTACGTGTTAACTATTATTATGGCTTGAAGCCAATTTCTATTCCTTAAATTAAGAATCTACATTTCCCTGCATCTCCTCAACGTATTTCTGCTTCCTATAACTACATAGGGTTTTCTTCACTCTGGAAAGAGGGTTCAGGAAATTTTTTACGGTAATTTTCTTTTAAACAGCTCACATAACCAGTTTTAATATTTACTTTTCTTACTGCTTTGTTTATTCTCTGTAAACCTCTGCATGATTATTTATTTATGAGATACTTATGGCACCAGTAAGATGTCTATTTCTCCCTTTACCTCAAAAACAGGCAAAATGTTTTAATTTGTTGCAATCGCACAAGAAATTCCTTTAAATGATAAATACGTTTTTAAACGATTGAGGGGTGATTATTTGTCTGAGGGCGAGCGTTATGTTTTGATCCATTTTCCCCTTTTGGTCGCTGAACTGAACTTCCAAATGTGTATAGAACAACAGCATTAAAATTGGAGTCAGCCAATTTGGCAAAGCCATCTTCGCTTTTATCTTTCTTTACAGCTATTAAAAACTAAGATAATCTAACGCGACGTAGAGGTGTAATATTTTTCTTTAAAGCATTATAAACTGTATACTCACACTGCTGATGATGTTGTGTTTTCGCAAATTTCAGGCAACAGATTAAGGTGAAAATACTGTGATAAGAGGATAAAATAGAGCATCATTGACACAGTAGAAGTTAGGCGCTAGAGAACTTTAATAATAATAATAATAAAGACTTTATTTTACGAGGGTAACACATAATAGCATAGCTAATAAACTTGTGACACAGTATGAAGTTGTGTTTTCGCAAATAAGGAAACACACGAAAATAGAAAATTCCGGTGACGCGTAGTTCGAATGTCTTGAGTTGTTGATGCATTTGATAATCTTACACTTCTCGTAAAAAGGAATCCATTTCAGTCTATTAAAGAGTTCTACGGATGGGATAAAATAGAGCATCATTGACACAGTAGAAGTTAGGCGCTAGAGAACTTTTGCATCTTAAGGGTAAGAGACGAACATAGTTGATGCACTGCCAGGAACATTTCTATTCCTTAAGAATCTCCGTTTACTCGCATCTCCTAAATATATTTCTGAATCCTCGGACTTTATAAGAGAAGTTTTTCTCGACTCTCGAATTAATGTTTACTGAATTGTTGACGGCAAAGTTGCTTAAATGGACCACATAATCATAATTACTTTTTCTTTTTATACTATCTAAACCTCTGCATGATTATTTCTTTACGTGTTAACCATACAGCCAACGTGGCTAAAATTTTGAGCCGGTCAAAATGTTGAATTTGTTGCAATCGGACAAGAAATTCTTTTAAATGGTAAATGGGTTTCTGAAAACTTGAAGGGTGATTATTTGTTAAAAGGTTAATCTTATGTTTGGATCGATTTCTCCTTTTTGTCACCGAACTAATTAGTAAAACAAGGCCTGGAAAAAACACTTCTAAATGTGAGTACAACATCAGTATCTAAATAGTAATAAAATCAGTCTCTAAATTGCAAAACTACTGCTGCATTTTAAAACAAACCAAACCATATTACATCATATTGTGGTGATAAAGGGTTGGAAGACACACCAGAAATTCTTAGGTGGTATGATTTGCGAGCAACCTACATCATAAATTTAAGGAACGAGAGGATAAAAGAACTTGAACACGTTAGATGACAAAAAAGAACCTGTCACATTTGCAGCGTCATTAACTTAAATGAACTTCACAGTCGCCGAATTGTTCGTGCATATCTGAGTGGTAAGTAATTAAAAATGTTTTGTTTTTTAAACATTTTGTTGCATTTCCGTAGACTTTTTCTGCAATTTACTTGGCCTGATCCTGAACTTAAATTCGAATTGTAGCTTCATCTCTGCACTCAAGTTTGTATGTCGTTCTCGAATAATGGAATCTTGTTTACTATGAATAATTGAACTGCATCACAAATCATCAATATTAACTCGAAGTCCCCAGTCTAAAATTATACAACAGTGCACAAATGGAATAGACAATTTGTTAATTAATTTTCATTAAATTTTCCTTAACTTATGTACGAGTGTATTTAGTTAGGCAATGGACAATGGAAAAATGAG